CTTCAAAATTTAAATATATACATACACACATATATATACAAAAATAAAGAACACTATATTACAACAATAAAGACAACATATATGGTGTGTGTGTGTGTATCACTTCCTGGGATAGTGATAGCGCCATTGTCACTGTGTCTTGGACAATGAAAAAATCCCACTATTACTGTCCTAGGGACACCAAGGAGAGTGAAAATACCCCACTCCCACAGTCCCAGTTACTCAAACGCCTATCCCACAGAAATTAATCAAACGACTATCCCACAAAAAGAAAACATACCAAAAATAAGAGAAATTTTTCACAATAGAAACTAATAAATATACACAAACCTCTTTAAAGATTACAATCTCAACAACAATACTTGTGATATATCGAAGGACAAGACTGATGACACTCCTTACTACAAATGATGAGCCAATATCCACATTGATTTGAACTTAAAACTGGCTTAACAAGATGCGTTAAAAATAGTAATAAAAGGTTTAGATCGGAAGGCGTGACATGGAAGAGTGAGGAGATAGAAGCAGTAGGATGGAATTGAGAGGAGAGAGAATGAGTGTGTGATGAAAGAGAAGAGAGAAATTTAAATAAAAAATATAAGAGATTGACTCAGAGAAAGGATACAAATTGAAGGAAAAGAGAGGAGATTGAAGGAAAAGAAAGGAGTTACAAATTGAATGAAGAGAGAGGAGAGAGAAAGTGATGAAAGAGATATTGGAGAGAGAATGAGTGGAATGGAAGAAAAAGGAGAGAGTAATTTCAATAAAAGGTAAAGAAGAGATTGACAAGAGAGAGGATAAAGAAATTAAAGGAAGAGCGGAAGGAGAAAGTGGGACAAAAATGGATAGAGAGGAGAGGAGAATAATTTAAGGTCAAAGTAGGAAATAAAAAATAATAATAATAATAAAGAAAAAATCCTATAGATCTGCTTACCAAGTAGTACATATCATGTGTCTTTAATGGCCCAAAAAGTTTGTGCTTGTATTTATTGGCAAAATAGAATGTCATATTATACTTGCTTCTAATTTTCACCATTTTTTCATATATATAGGTGTTGGACAAGACTTTGGGTTCGACAAAGGTTACTAAATATGGTTATTGGGTTATGGCCAGTACTAAATCCGAGTTGAACTGGTCCTCGTTCTTTTGTTTTATTTGGTATTAGCTTGGAAAATGGAATTGAGTTGGGTTGGGTCAATAAAACGTGGGAAGAGGACGTCTTCTTCCAACAAGGTCACTTGTTGGTTGGCATGATTGAACCTCTAGCAATATTTACTGCTTCTCGTCATCAAAATTTTTTTGCAGTTCTTGGGTATCAATGACCAGAAGGCAGCCCTCTTAATAGTTAATAGTCATTTTTTTTAAAAAAAAATCTTGGCTTTGTCCTAACCGCATACTAGCTGTATCCTGGCCAGGTCCGACTGAGTTTACTATTTAGGACACTTCTAGCCAATGTCGGACTCGTGTTCGGCCGTATCTGGCGTTTGTTCATGTCGAATGAAAATTATGGATGTTTATTTTAATCGACTTCAATTTTAATCAAAAAAATTAACATTTGCTAGATTTATCATTAAATATTGTTATAAAATGTGTGTTTTCCTTAATATATTATAATTCTATTATTATCTAAAAATATATTATAATATATTAAGAACGCATCTGTGTCCTATATTTTTTTAACTTTATCGTATCTCTGTATTCGTACCATTTCAAATACGACACTTGTGTCCATATCCATGCTTCTAACTTTTATTAATATCACTCCATTTATATTTATAGGCTAAATCCTATAAAGTACAAACACTCTCAAGAAGGTGATGTGTCTATATCAAATACGTGTCGGATATCGACACTCTCGGACACGTGTCTGATACTCTTTGATCTGTATGCATAATTAAATAATAAAATCTTAATTTCGGACACATGTCCCAACACTTCTTTAGTGACATGTTCATCACTTCTTTAAACCGTGTCTACTACTAAACAATAAATTTTTGTTTAACAACATTAAAAATTTGACTATTAAGTATCTTATATTATGACAGAAAATATAATTACCAAAATTAGACATGTTAAAATTATACTCAAAATATAATAATAGAAGCAAAAGACACATAAAAGATTTAAAAAAGAGCAATCGAGATGAGAGGAATCATTTAAATTATATATGTCCAATACGCGTCTAAGAAAAAATTGATAATTATTCATTATTATGATGTTAGCATAAATATTCACACTAAAGACTAGAGATAACATTTATTTATCATAAAACACTGAACCTAATCCTCAGATTAGGGAGAATCTCAATGTGTTTACTAATTGTATAATTTGAGAGACCACTGAACTGAAGGTGAATAGTGGCAAGAAGACTTTCTACTGGATTAGGTATCGGCTGTCCAAAAGAATTCAAAAGTAGATTCCCATTGAAACCTTATCTTTCTTGTGTGAATATTGTATTGAGGACTTGTGACAAAGCCTGTCCCTTCAAGCGATGGAGCCTCGAACACCTACTTTCACCCGGGACAGCACTTTCCATCCGATTTTCAAGGCGCGAGATGCTAAGAAAACTTGAGTGCAAGCGTTCCTCGCTAAGCACAATTATCTATAACGTATCCGAGTCCTATTTTTTTGAGATTTGTCGTGTCTATGTCCATGTCCATATCTATATCTGTGTCGGTATCTGTATCCGTGTCCGTACTTCCTAGGCTAAATTTCATACCAAAACAAGAACTATTCTCCTATTAAAATTCTAAAAGAGTTTCATAATCAAATTCTCAAACTATTCTCCTAGTAAAACTCTATCTAAATCTCCTAATCAAACTCTTTAAATAGTTTCGTAATCAAAAGAAATACTTCCTAAATAATTTAATAATGCTAATAAAATAAATAATAAAGTAAAATTCTTCAAGTCAAACTTATCCAATTTTTTTTCGATCTTTATCAGATACCCTATCTCAACATTAGATTGTATATTTTGTATAGAGCTTATATTTAGAATAATAGGCAAAAAAACTAATAAATAAATCTTACTATTTGTACATTTTAAGGGTACTTCAAATATTCATTTACCAATAGCTATCTAGACCTTATTATAGTCTTTTGGCAAGTCTAGAGATTATATATCAGTCTAGCAACTAGTAATGTTTACCCTTAGTTTATACAAATTTGTCTATGCATGCCTACACTGTTCAAAGTTTTACAGTAAGCTAGGTAGTTCTCTAGAGCAACGAAGAAAGATAGGACTACATTACGCCAACCCCCAACACACACACACACAGAGGGACAAAGGCAAATAATCACTTCCCTCATCAAACTCAATTGCTCAGGATGAGACAGAAAGTAGAGAAAAACGACCTTTATTTGGTGTATTTCCATAGAAAATGAACTCTCAAAAAGAAGAGCAGGAAGGAACACAGCCAACAAAAGGTTGGGATCAATATTTGCCCCTGTCATCAACAACTACAGTGTCAAGGTCCTTAGAATAGTTGATAATTTAACAATGAGAGTATATTCTTCTATCAAAATTTATTGGAAAGCATCAAAACACTCATCTCATGCCAATTATAGAATGAACTTACAAAGACGAATGCCATCACCAATCTTTCCTAACCGGTGACTTGTACCATATTCTGCATATTTATCAGTTAGTCAGATTCTAAAATGAACCAAAATAAACACAAAACACGAATATATATGGCATTGTTAGCAGAAAAAATATGTTCATTAGATAAAATGGCTTATAAAACAGAGGGACCGATAAATAAATAAGTTCAACTGTCGGCCCTATTTTTAGTCCGGAAGGCCCTCCCACCTCCCCCCAACCCTCAACAAAAAAGAGAACATAAAAGAATACCATAGGGAGAACACTTCCGTGCCAGTTACTGTATAATTAACTGGCAATATTGGCATCATGCACAGCCAACAATTTATTAATTAGAGTTAAATTGTAAAGTATGTTGCATATCAAGTATTTGTAAGTTTTGTATTTGCGTATATTGATAATCAAAGCTTGAAATAACCGACGAGATTTATTTTTCCAAATTCATTGAATAAGTGAAAGTGTCATTTTACGAGACAGGAAGGCTAAACGGGATAATCCTAAAACAATGTTTACATATTGCTCTCTTTTGAAAAGTAAATAATGAAGTCAATAAAAAGGATAATGACAGGTATCTCTTCATTGCACAACCCCAAGAATCATGCCCCCATATTCTACGCAGCAGATAGACCGTGCAGTGCCCTTGCCCCAACATCCTCCAGTCAAGAGAAGCCTAACAGCCATATGAACCTTTGTGAATGACACTTGTGTGCAAATATGATTATACAACACACTGACAAACACATCTCGTTGGCATGTCTAACAACTAAAATCCGCACATTATTGACACATAACATGCATACAAGATGTTGGGAGAGATAGATAGCATGCCCGCATAACATTATCGATACAAGCATACAGATACCCAAGAGGCTTCTGAGCAATAGCATAACCAAGCATCAAGACTTGGGAACACAAGTAACACTACCAACAAGCTGCTGCCAAACACATAGGCTGTAGATACAAAAATAGCGTGATGGGATAAATAAAAAGGCATAGCAAAATAAACTGTCCTGGAATGGGGTCTCATCTCAAGCCTGTGCCTTCTAGTCCATCAAACATGGCAAAGCCAAAGCCTCATATCCACATGACATATAGTATTGTGTGGTATAATTCAGGGGATCCTAAACACAAAGATTGTAGAGAAATTGTAAATACATCCAGAGCCTTTTGTAACCCTTAAAATAGCTCAATTAGTACCCCACATGGCACCAGTGGCGGTAGGACCCAGTTCATCCTTCTCAGCACCCGCTTAATGGGAATTAATTCATCCAATTACGGAAGGTATAGAAAACCATTAATATTGCATTTTTGACAAACAAAATAAAAATCGAATGACATAAAAATAAGTAAAACATAATGAAGAAATTCAAAGAAAAGTGAAAGATGTGCTTGGTAAACCTAAAGATCCCATGCCAATGCCGAGCACAAGCAAAGCCACTGTATAAGGCACCCGAGTCCCTCTGAGTACATGCCTACAAGCAATTCCTAAAACCAGACTAATTCCAACGAATATCACCGCGTCCGTCGGATTCGAAGACGAACTCTGCTCTTCAGAAACCTTAAATGGCAACGGCCCTTCCGCAATCGACGCCATTTCTTCCTCTTTTAATCCAAATTCCCCAACCAGTTCAAGCTCACCACAGCTGCACAGATATAAAAAATCATGTCGACAGGAGTACACTTCGTGTGTGTGCGTGTATGTACATCTATATAGCTATATATTCTTGTGTATAGAGAGAGAAAAAACAAACAACTGAGAGAGAGAAAAAAACTAACAACTGAGAGAGAGGGAGGGAGATAAATCGATCCAAAAGTGAACTAAATCCAGTTCGATAGGGGAGCATCTGGTGTCCTTGTAGTTGCATATATATATGCTCATGCTCTGTGTGTGTGTGTGTATGTGTGTGTGTGTGTGTGTGTGTGTGTGTGTGTGGAGAGAGAGACAGAAACGGGAAAACTGAGAACACTGACAAGTTTGGTAAAAATAAAACGGGCGAATTTAAAATATTATATTTAAATCAAAACTATTATAATTAAAAATAAAATATTAAATATTTTAAATTTTATAACTAAAATTCATGTTCTATTATAACATTTATTAAAATAAAATCAAAAATAAAAATATAATTTTTTTAAAAAAATTATAATTAGTATACAATTTTATTATTTATTAGAATAAAACTAAAAAATCAAATAAGATGTCAAATTATAATTGTTACAATACCTTCTAGTTTTAATTGGATAATTTAATTTAATCATTTAAACTACCAAATTAAATTCTAATAAATAGTATAATTGTTTAATAATTTTATTTTTTAAGAAAAAATTAGATTTTATTTTGATTTTATTTCAATAAATGTCATCATAGAACATGAATTTTTGTTATAAAATTTAAAATTAGAATTTTTTTGTTTTAAGTATAATATTTTAAACTTTGATTAGAATATTTTTTATCTAAGTATAATATTTTACATACTTACAAACTTTAGGAGTTGTAGGTATAATTTACTAACGAATATACTAATGACATTAACGATAAAAGTATAAGTGTTAGGTATGTACAAAATTCAAAAGACAAAAATAAGTTATGGTGACGGTATGTATTCTGCAATGTGCTTTCAATATTTTGTTAATTTGTACGAACATAAATTACTTATTATTATGGCATAAAATATTAAAATACACGGGCAAGTAATCTATGGTTCCTGATTATTATAAGGAAATTTTATGCTTCAAATTACAACAACAAACAATATTTTATTTTGTCTTCGGTTGGAGGTGAACTTAAACAGTTGAATTACCATTTTACCCATAAGAAAAAATTAAAAAACCAAGTTAGCCCATTTATTTATTTATATAACAAAATGGATCCTGCTTTTCAATGGATACTTTCCATAAATATAATGAAGTCTATGATTAACTCAGAATTGATACAATAACCAAAAATCTCTCCTCTTATATCATTTTTCCGACCAAAAATCCTTCAAAATTTTACACTTCTCACCTCATCAATCATGCGCATGATTCTCACTTTGACAGTGTTTGTTTAGATTGTCCCGACACCCTTGTTAGAAACGTAGAGTCATGATTAGATTGATTTAAAGGAGAAGTAGAGTCTAGATTAAATTTAAATTAATTTAGTGCTTAATTTTTAGCACATATCAAACAGTTTTTTAATTACAAAAATCCGAATTCAATATTTAATATTCAACATTTACCAGTAGAATGATGAATATCATTAATTAGTAATTAAGCTAGAATTACATTGTGCATAGTGGGAGGGTAGGGTGCCAATTCTTAATATGACATGCTAATCTAAATCTGTACAAAGTTATCTGACTTTTGCTTTTTTTTAGTTTTTTAATGATTTTTTGAAAAAATATAATTTGTTACTTTATAAAAGTTTTAAAAAAATTATACTACTAACAAAAGTATTTTTAAATGAAAAAATTTTAATTTACTATTTTACCCTTATAAAAAAATTAAATATCACACTATCTTTGCATAGTTAAATATCTAAATTACAATCACATATTTACGTATTTAAATCTACAAATTACTTTCTAACATCTCTTTTAATTATCAATTATCTTTGTATAAATATCAATATCTATGAGAATTTTTAATTGATTACATTATCCTTAAAAAAATATATGAATAGTTTTCAATAACATGTTCAAAAACTCCATCAGTAAATCATTAATCTTTTTAAATATATATATATATATATATATATATATATATTTTCCATCTATGCTAACTAATAAAGAATGAAACTTTTGTCTTAGCACGAAAAACTTTTTATTCAATATTATGTGTTTAAATCTTCGAATTACCTCTAACATCTTTTTTAATTCTCTATTTATTATGTATAAATATCAGAATTTATGAAACTTTTTAATTGATTACATTACCCTTAAAAAATATGTGCATCACTATAGTTTTAAATAAAATATTCAAAAAAATCTTCAAAAATTTCATCAATCTAATATTACTTATTTCAAATATAAATATAACATTATGTTTACATATGTATATTTTTTTTATCCAAAATTTCAACCATTTCATTGTGTGATTAAATTGAGCTCCAATTGTAGGTTATTTGATGAATTAAGTTGAAATGATTTTACATCAAATTAATTTGACAAGTTTGAATTATTTTTTAAAGTTTTTTCAAAAAATAAATAATCCTATAGTTCTTCATGTAAAATCAAATGTTGTTAGTTTCCATACAACTACATGTTGGACAAAAATAATAACCCATTGAATGAAAAATCCTGGTCTGCCTCTATTTGCCTCTGCTCAAGCTAAACTCATGGCTGTATCCCCATACAAAAATTAAGGCACACTAATCTTCCATAATTGAAAAATACAAATTTCTTGATATCATATTATTTAGAAATACTAGCATTAATTCTTATTTTAAATTTTGTTTAGGATCATTTTTTTATTTTATTCATTTTATCTTTAAATTTAATCATAAATATTTTTTTTTTGGTTAACCATAAATCTCTAAGATGAAATCTCCCCTTTCTGTGAAGGAAAAAAATTGACATTATATTATTTTTTTTAATTACAGAGATCACCTCCTTATTCTGAAATTACCTTATACCTCAGTATCAGTGTGTATCTCACATTGATTAGTAAAACATTATTTTTTTAATTTGCATTTATATATAACTAAAATTAATTTAATGAAAAATCTCCGGATGCAAACACCACTAATTTTTCATTTAAGACAACACTGTAGGAGATGTCAATATACCTTTCTTAACAAAAGGTTCTAGGATGGGCTGCGGGTAAAAGGGAGCACTCAAAGATTACCCCAATAAGTTTTAATTTGTGGGATCATGAGACTCTGATCACATTCGTTATACCTTTTGAAAATGAACCTAGTTAAGCTAACATAACAGTCAACTATCGAACTCCAATGTAAACTCTAAGACTCAAATTTTTAATCTCAACGTGAGAAATTTGGTCGATACCCCACTGAACGATCACACTAATTGTGATTAAATTATCAAATAATCAATCACAAAGCTGCTTATGTCAAGTAAAATTACCTGGGGGTGGCGAATCCAAACAAAATGATGACCAGAAAAATTGGGTTCTTTCTTTTAATTTTTCTTTCTTTTTTTTTTTGTTGGAGGGGTACTTTTATGTTGCTCAACTCCACCCTGTGGTTGAGAACGTGTCAAATGATTATTGACTAGACAAGAATTTATCTTTTTCTGCACCAATTATGTGGGATCAAGATTCCTTTCAATGTATTTTTTTTTTTTTAACTTTTCTTCTTCACGGGTTTTTTAAGTATGAAGTTCACTTGAATGTGTGGTAAGTGATGCAACAGAAAGAGAATTGAAGAACAAAATATGTTATAGGGTATCTCAGTCCAACCAAATGCTACATATCACACATTTTAGGGTGTTTAGGCTTTTTTTAATTGATTTATATTATTTAAGTCTAATTTATTTATATAATTTAATATAATCATTAAATTAACAATAAATATAAATGTTAGATGGAATTCATTATCAATCTAATAATTAATAAATTAAATTAATATATTTAATAAATAAATTATATCAAAACATCGTCACTCTTCTTAATTATTACTTAGGAAGGGGCAACACCTCCCTCAATTGTACACGGTATTGGATAAGAACAAGAACTCAAAGACCATATACGGATGAGGTGATACCTAACTTGATTAGGTATTACTGATTCACCAAAAGAAAATAAGGTATTGACAATCACAAAGGCGTCACTTTGGTCACCATTCCATTATAATATGAGCACCTTCAATTGAGGATTTGTCAAATCCATTAAAAATCTCTCTTCATTCACTTAGAAAAATGGGGATAAAGCCACAGACAAAGTATGACATTGCCTTTGTGTTTTGCTAACGTGGTCAATGCAATAGCTAGATACGTTAGTAATATTAATTTTATTAGGAGTTGATGGTGTAAATTAAAGTGGATGAGCAAAAGGTATGAATTATGCTTGTCAGCTTGGATCTGAACTGCAAGGCTCGTGAAGATCGTGAGAAGTATTGCTGGGGGATTTGAGTGATTTACACAATGAAAATATAGTGGTTCACCGACTCGAGCGCTTGGCTAGTCCACTCTTTTATGGAGGCTCTTTCTCCTTATTCTATATTGATCGCTAAAAAGGTTTTTTTTTTTTGAGGGCTTTTGGTACCACTAGGGTTCTATATATGTTTTTGGAGGTATTATACAGTATTTATAGAGCTGTTTCTTGTTCTGTGAAATCTGCACTAAGATCCTTGTCATTTATCCGTGGAATCCTCCTTGATCTTAGGAGAGGATCTTAGCTGGTTAAGAGTTATGTGCCTTGATTGTAGCTTGGCCGTTTGTTTCGGGGTGTCTTCTATTATCCAGCTGGCCCTTCCTTACGCTTTCTTTTGTTGACTTTGGGGGAACTCGAGGTCTGGGCCCTTGAGATCTGGAGGTCTTACCTGACCTCCTTGTCTGACCTCTGCGCCTAAGCTCATTCTTGTAATTTATTTAAGGTATCATCAGTTGGCCCCCAGCCCTTATCCAAGCGGGCTTGGACAGGGGCTGAGCTACACTAAGGCTGGCCCGAATTAAACAACGACCTTGATTTGCGCACCCAAAGGGTGTCTTTTGACAGTTTTTAGTAATCATGTGTCTTCTTGATTCTCGCGCACACTTTTATCCCACGTCTTTCGAGCTTTAAATGCTCGCGAGGCAACAACCAAAAAAAAACAAAAACAAAACCGCCCAAACTCCCTGTTCATCTTCTTCCTCTGGCTTTTGGTTCCCTAGCTTTCTTCACTCTTTGCTTTCCTAATTTGCTGGCG